CGTTTGTACTTAAAAGCTGCGATTTTCAAGCCGGAGCTGCCGCGGACCAGGGGGGAATCGAACCCGCGACCGCGGGATTGCGAAAGCAGGCACGCAAACCACGAGACAACTTCCAAAGGCCGTTTCGCGAGCAAGAATATTGCACGGCGCCACAGCGAGAGCGCTTCGACACGCACAATCTCCGCAGAGGGTTCGCCGAGACTAAGACAAATTCGCACGGCGCCACAGCGAGAGCGCTTCGACGCGCACGATCTCCGCAGAGGGTCGCGCGCGCATGCTAAAAATCGTAAAAAGTCCGCAGTTTTTGAACCTCGACCACGCGAATCTCCGCAGAGGGTCGCGCGCGCACCGCAGAAATCGTAAAAAGTCCTCAGTTTTTGAACCTCGACCACGCGAATCTCCGCAGAGGGTCGCGCGCGCATGCTAAAAATCGTAAAAAGTCCTCAGTTTTTTGAACCTCGACCGCGCGAATCTCCGCAGAGGGTCGCGCGCGCATGCTAAAAATCGTAAAAAGTCCTCAGTTTTTGAACCTCGACCACGCGAATCTCCGCAGAGGGTCGCAATCCCGAGCGACGATCAAACTCCCGCCCCGGCGCCTTAGAAACCTAAACTAACTTACATAGCTGCTAACGCCGAAGCTCTAAGCTCTACCTAACCTTGGCTCTACCTAACCTTGGCTCTACCTAACCTTGGCTCTATGTAACTTGGCTCTATGTAACTTGGCTCTATGTAACTTGGCTCTATGTAACTTGGCTCTATGTAACTTGGCTCTATGTAACTTGGCTCTATGTAACTTGGCTCTATGTAACTTGGCTCTATGTACTTGGCTCTATGTAACTTGGCTCTATGTAACTTGGCTCTATGTAACTTGGCTCTATGTAACTTGGCTCTATGTAACTTGGCTCTATGTAACTTGGCTCTATGTAACTTGGCTCTATGTAACTTGGCTCTATGTAACTTGGCTCTAGGTAACTTGGCTCTAGGTAACTTGGCTCTAGGTAACTTGGCTCTAGGTAACTTGGCTCTATGTAACTTGGCTCTATGTAACTTGGCTCTATGTAACTTGGCTCTATGTAACTTGGCTCTATGTAACTTGTCCAAGGGCTCCGCACGGAACCCTTCGCGATGCTTTCGGGAAAACAGTCCGAATCACGGCGCCAAAAACAGGACCGCAAATTGCCTAAAAACGATCTCTTGGATGAGCCGAAAATGGACTCAGTCAATAGTCAAACGAAACAGCTTTTTCTATTAGTTCAAGCCAGCCTTCTGCGACACTTCTGCGGCAGTATCTGCACTAGCGAGGAGAACCTGTGGCATGCCGTGTCGCAGCTTCCAGCGTCGTCGAAACCGCTGAACCCAAAGTCTGCGGTCTCGGTCAGTGCGGCCACGACTGCGGTCTGCAGGCGGCAGCATACTCTGAACCGAAGAAAACACATGTTCCGCCGTAGTTGCCACGCCTGCATCACTGCGTTTCATAACGTGGCTAGCTACTGCCGCTTCTACACCGCGTGCTCGGGCAGCCTTCCAGGATGCTTGAACACAAAACCTCGCCGCCGTGAAATGTCGATCACTTGTTCCAAGAATGATATCGAAGACTGTTGCGCGCGCAAGATCTCGTCGCATCCAGCGCGATGCTGTGAGCTCAGATGCCTCCAGGCCCCCATACACGAAAGCGGCAATCACCTCTCGTACCCGACAGCATGACAATGTGTTGAATGACAGTACTTCATTCTGCTTGCGCTTGCCTGTCCTTGACGGCATTGAGCGAAAAGAAACCCATTTCGAGCTAAACTGCCAAGCAAGTGACGTAATACGCATGCACTGTTACAGTCTGAAGCAAATGAAATTCTCGAGCTATGCGCGCAGACTACTAAAACACCAGGCCTTCCTTCACCTTCTCATGTATTTGAAAATTAAAGGACCGGATAACCCCACATGCTATGTTTTTCCCAAGGATGTGAGTTCAAATGTCCACACACATGTACCGTGCGCCCCTTGTATGGATGCGATTACAGAGCACCCAGATGCACAGAATGCAGCGCCTGCCACGACTTCGGCAACGGCATCGCCAAAGTGCTGCGCCTGCCACGATTTCGCACGCCCCCCGCCGCGCGCGCGACAACATCCTGTCCCTCTAGACAGCTGCCGAATGCTACCCCTGCCACACAAACACACACCTAGATGCACAGAATGCTGCGCCTGCCACGACTTCGGCAACGGCATCGCTAAAGTGCTGCGCCTGCCACGATTTCGCACGCCCCCCGCCGCGCGCGCGCCAACATCCTGTCCCTCTAGACAGCTGCCGAATGCTACCCCTGCCACTCAAACACACACCCAGATGCACAGAATGCAGCGCCTGCCACGACTTCGGCAGCGGCATCGCTAAAGTGCTGCGCCTGCCACGATTTCGCACGCCCCCCGCCGCGCGCGCGCCAACATCCTGTCCCTCTAGACAGCTGCCGAACGCTACCCCTGCCACACAAACACACACCCAGATGCACAGAATGCTGCGCCTGCCACGACTTCGGCAACGGCATCGCCAAAGTGCTGCGCCTGCCACCATTTCGCACGCCCCCCGCCGCGCGCGCGACAACATCCTGTCCCTCTAGACAGCTGCCGTGAGTCAGCGAGTGTGAGTGAGTGAGTGAGCGAGTGAGTGAGTGAGTGAGTGAATGAGAGTGAGTGAATGAGAGTGAGTGTGAGTCAGTGAGTGTGAGTGAGCGTGAGTGAGTGAGTGAGTGAGTTTGAGTGAGTGTGAGTGAGTGAGTGTGAGTGAGTGTGAGTGACTGAGTGTGAGTGAGTGAGTGTGAGTGAGTGTGAGTGAGTGTGAGTGACTGAGTGTGAGTGAGTGAGTGTGGGTGAGTGAGTGTGAGTTGAGTGAGTGTAAGTGAGTGAGTGAGAGTGAGTGAGTGAGTGAGTGAGTGAGTGAGTGAGACGGAGACGAGCGGGAGAAGGAGGAGACGCGGCGCGCGGACGACGAGCGGTAAAAGTAAGAACCCCACACAAAGATGTGGGGAAAAATCATGTACATGGGATACAGTGCCGGGAGTTTTTCCTATCTTTTCGCATTTGCTTCGATAAAATGCTGCGTTTGGTTCTCAATCCTAGGCTAGATGCTCACACTCACTTCTAGGAGAATGATATGATACGATTGAATCAGCAAGTCTAACAGCAGACTACACAAATACTCACAAGCGACATACCGGCACAGTGAGGGAACACCTGGAGCACTCCGTTTTTGGAGCCAGAAGTGGTCTCAAAAACAAGACCTCACAAATCAGCCAAAATCGCGATTGCTGGTTTATCCTTGTTCGACAAGTTTGATATTAGTACGTTATGCTGAAGGACAATTTATATTCCGCATAAACAGCACAGACGTACTGTGTCATCATCTCCGTGTCACAGCGGAACTGACTGCAGTAAGCCACAGAAACTGACCATGGAACAGCAAGACTACACAGGCTTAGGGTTTAGGATGCGTCGATTGAGCCGCGACAAAGCCAAATTGCACACAACACATGTGAGAGAGCAAGCACAAACACTCTCCCTTTTTCCAATTTCATGATGGTCCACGCGCAGTGTTCTCTCTAGGGTTTAGGCTGCTGTATTGCGAGTGGGATGCCTGCTAATGATGTATGTTAGACTAGGTAAGACCACTTCCGGTCAAACTCGTGTCACATGCTCATGTCAACGACACGCGCTGAAAATTACACATCTCAAGCTCACTGCAGAAACAAGGCACCACAGACAACATTCCGGCCCTGCAGCCACTCAGTCTTCCCCGTCATGATGCTTCGCATAACATGATCGTCGCGAGGCGACAATCCCGACGGTCCATCCATCCAAAGAAAACCGCTCTGACCAGTAAAAGCATGGCGCTGGAAATGGAAATCCTTCAATGAGCAAACAGCTGCTGCGTGGTCACAAACAAAACCACCAACTAACAAACGCACAGGCCAGAAGATACTTCCGACACAGCGCGAATGTCTAAGCTTTTGTTCTTGGAGCTCCTATTGCTTTTAAAACTCTAAGACAGGTTATACCAACATAAACATACAACAGCATGGTGTTGCCGCTACAGTCACCCACTACTCGTCCTCCCATTCATAGACAAGTGAAACAACAAAACTACTGGGGCTTAGGGTTTGGGATGCGTCGATGAGGCGGGGCACAGACATGGCCGACAAAAATGCAATCCGCAACCGAGCATCATACAAAATACGCCAACAGGATTTTGTCGTCTGCTGCAAGCCAGTCTTCCCCGTCACTGTGCTTCGCACAATGCTTTCATCGCCAGGCGATAAATTCCGGACATCTGGGCATCCAACAAAAACACGCAGACTAATAATGGTGTAATACAAACAATGATTACACAAACTCTCAGCTAGCAAAGTTGCAAACTCCTGGGCGGCCTAGACTACTTGTCTTCTGCTGCGCTACACGTGCGGGGTCGTGCACTGGATGAGCCAGTCAGTATCTCGGTCCCAGATGGCAGGCGCGCGGAAGCCGCGCACGCTTAGGCTATGTAACATTGGTTTTTGTGCAACTTGAAGTGTAAACAATAAGGGGCTGTGTATTAGAACGACAAGAAACAAACACCGAGGCTGTACAAGAGATGACTGACACGGAGACTGAGTGCGGCGCACGGGGTCACACACAAAGCAAACAAAACCACCAACTAACAAACGCACAGGCCAGAAGATACTTCCGACACAGCGCGAAAGTCTAAGCTTTTGTTCTTGGAGCTCCTATTGCTTTTAAAACTCTAAGACAGGTTATACAAACATAAACATACAACAGCATGGTGTTGCCGCTACAGTCACCCACTACTCGTCCTCCAATTCATAAAATAGCCATGGCTCCAGGATCTGTGCAAGAATCTGATAAAGGCATATCAAGATATCCCACCGGGCACTCCTCAGCCACCTCCACGGCCAGCACCGGCCACCAGCCCTGGCCAGGCGGCGCGGGCCGCGTTGCCCAAGATCGTCCACGGGGACGTCGCTCCACGGAACAAACTGGGAGCGCTCCCGATACTTGCCAGCCTGGCCAGCCTGGAAGCTAACGCAGCCCCGTGAGAGCACGAATGTGCCTCGCGTCTATCTCCGCGGCCGCGCTCTTCTTACTCCCACAAACATGCGCTGAGCCGCCTGGCCGAGGAACTCCACATCGGCGCCCCAGCCTTGAACCGCTTCTGTGTCTGCCCAGGTCAGTCCGCCATCACCCAAGAGCTTATTCAGGAGCGCGTGCTCCTGGGCTCGGATGCGCTGGAGCGCCGACGTGGCCGTCCGTGGCCAGCTTGCCACATGGCACGCACATGCCATCCCTGACCGTGCCATTGCTGGCCCTGACCTCTTCCTCGTGGGTCACGCTCACAGCCGCTGCCAGGACCTTGTTGCGCTCCTCGAGGAACAGGCCCATGATGCCCAGGGCCTCCGCATCCTGAGCCACATTCAAGTAGCAGTGTGATATACTCTACTCACCCGAGTGATTCCCCGAAAAACTTTACAAGCATGGCCCGCGCCTGCAAAGACTCCACCAGCGGTCGCTGCAGACCGGCCTCGCGCCCGGGACCAGCCAAGCGTGCTAAGAACTTGAGGAGGGCACTCCTGGCGAAAGGCTGGGAGGCGGAGAGCTTGCGGCAGATGTCGGACACGGATCTGCCGCAAGCTCTCCGCCTCCCAGCCTTTCGCCAGGAGTGCCCTCCTCAAGTTCTTAGCACGCTTGGCTGGTCCCGGGTGCGAGGCCGGTCTGGCACTGCTCCCGTGAACTGGTGGTCATGGAGTCCTCCAAGTCGGACCCTTCCGGAACTCTTGTGGAAGTCAGCCCCCTCGAAGAGGACGCCATTTGTGGCGGTCGAAAAAAGCAAGTACCCGGTGAGACTGGAAAAAGGCTGCTGCACAAATACAAGCGCTGAGTGACTGAGCGTACGACACACACTGACTCACACACACTCAGTCACACACACTCACTCACACTCACTCACACACACTCACTCACTCACTCACTCGCAGGGGCAGCATTTGGGAGCTGTTTAAAGGGCTGGGGTGTTGTCGCGCGCGCGGCTCGGGGCTCGCGAAAACGTGGCAGGCGCAGCACTTTGGAGATGCCGTTGCCGAAGTCGTGGCAGGCGCAGCATTCTGTGCATCTGAGCGTGTGTTTGCGTGGCAGGGGCAGCATTTGGCAGGTGTCACTCGCACACACTCACTCGCACACACTCGCTCACACTTGCATCTGCGGTCGCGGGAGCGACCTATATACGCTTGTAGAACCAGCTGCAATGCAAAGAAGCCCGCAGAAATGGGGTTCCGCTCTTGGAAGGCTTTCGTCTTGAAGTACTTAGCGCCTTACAGCGCAGGATGCATGGGGCCAGGCTGGCAGATACATGCTGCGCCTGACGCGTTGGCACTTCAAGCCATAGGTTAAACATATGCCGCTGACATATGCCATTGGCGATGCCAATGCGACCCCTCGATCTGCCAGAGCGAAAAACAAAGCGCTGAGAGTTTTCGACATAGCTGACTGCGTGAAGGTTTTGCATGTGAGGGTCTTTGCGTGTCTCGGATTTGGGATTATTCGCTGCTCGGCAGATGCAAGTGTCGCATACTTCAATAAGCATAGACTTGTGGGGTTATCCGGCCCTTTAATTTTCTCTGTCGCCTGTCTCTGAAACGCTTCCCGGGAGTGACCTCAGACATAAGGCTGGCGCTGAGCTTTGCCGAGCGCCTCATGTTCCTGCAGCCCCGCTGGGCACGAACGCAGAACTGGTCAGCAACTCTGCAGATGGCAAGGATTCTGAAGGCGCGGTGGCTACGAAGGACACCCCAAGCAGCTGCACAAGGCCATCTTGACGGAGAACGTGGTCAAGTCGAGCCCAGTACCTCGATGTTGCGCTTTCTCATAATTCACCACACTCGCTGTTGAGACACCTGTCTCCGAGCCGGTTTTTTCAACCGTTTACGCTATTTGCTGGACAAAGACTGCCAATGCATCGATGGGCAGGTAAAGACTCCCTTGTGTCGAGGAATTCGGTGTTTGTCTGCTCTGGCGCCTGTTCTATCCTCGGCACTCTTTTTTACTGTCTTGCGCTTTTCGTAGCGGACCGGTGTGAACGCAACGCGTGCAAAAAAAGACTGTTCACTTTCCTCGCTGCGCTGGCTGTTCTTGCTTCACTTTGCTCGCTGGCTGTTGTTGCTGTTCACTTTCCTGGCTGTTCAGTTTTCTTGCTGCGGCTGGCTGTTCTTTGCTGTTTTGTCACTTTTCTCGCTGCGCTGGCTGTTCTTGCTGTTCACTTTCCTCTGCGCTGGCTGTTCTCGCTGTTCACTTTCCTCGTTGCGCTGGCTGTTCTTGTTCTTCAAATTCCTCGCTACTGGCTGTTCTTCCTGTTCACTTTCTTGGCTGTTTTGGTGTTCACTTTCGTTGCGCTGGCAAGAACACTTTCCTCGCTGCGCTGGCTGTTCTTGCTGTTCACAATCCAGTTCGCGCTGGCTGTTCTTGCTGTTCACTTTTTCTCGCTGCGCTGGCTGCTCTTGCTATTCAATTTCCGCGCTGCACTGACTGGATCTTGCTGTTCACGGTTCTTGCTGTTCACTTTCCTCGCTGTGCTGCCTGTCCTTCCCTGTCTCTCACGCATAGGTCTCCAAAACCGCTCCAAAAAAGATTTTGGAGCTTGCGCAAAAGTGCGATTTACGCTTTTCGGCGCGCCCCCTGCTGTGGCGCGCGCGGATGGCTTCCAGAGAGTTTTTGTGCTGCGCAAGGCAGGTCCGCGGGAGCGCTCGCGAATTTTTCCAGCCCCCGTTCGAGCTCGAAAATGCGCTGGTCGCTGCGCTTGATCTCCTTCAGCTCGTGTCTCCAGCCAGGTCTAGTCAGCTGAGCTCTCCTTAAGGGTCGTAGCTGTTTACGTCCCAGCCACTGCGCAAAAACGCGTTTTCAAGGAGGGCGTCTGCCTCTCCGACCTTGCTGCGAGCCCAGTGTGCATGCAAAACAACATGGACTCTTGACACTTCCACCCCCCCCTGAGACTGGACGCTGGGCGATCAAAACAAAGGCTGGAGGGGCTTGATCAAAGTCAAACTCGTAACGAGCAACAGCGATTGCGAATGTTTGTTAACAGACCAACCCACTCAAAGCAAAAAAAGAAATGCACACACAAGCGGGCAAGGACCGCTAACTACTATGACAAAATGTTCCCATTTGCTGGTCGCGTCTAGCTGGACAGGCTGGCTCGGCCCGCCCAAGTTCTGGCACTATCAGGGCACGGATGGCGTATTATTTGGTGGGTCCAGAACCGAATCGCACAGCCCTTTGAAAAGACCACACTGTTGGTTCTGCGATCTTGGCGAACAAATCTCCAGTTGTCTAGTGGTACTTCTATGGCTGCTTCCCTTTCAACATGTACACCAATTTAAAACGGAATCGTTTTTTTTTGAAGGGCCACTGAAAAACTGGGAATCAGGCGGTGTTTAGTGTGTAACATTTCCTGAAAATAAAACTGCATGTTAGCCCCAATTCAGCTGGTGGAGTCTGCAAGTAATCAACGATTCCCAAGGCCCTGATCTGGCCGGCTAATTGTCACTGTACCAACTTGGGGCCAATATGCTAATTGGAAAAAATATTGCTCACCATGATCAACAAATGACCCGAGAACTTGGATGTGAGTTTGTCTGAAAATTGGAGATGCCGTTTCTGGTTGGTTCTAAAAGGATACCAAAAGGAAAAAAACTTCTCCCGCATGCCCATGACACTCACGCCAGGCACACACGCGGTCTGACAACCTTTTGTCTGTGATTAGCTACATCTCTGGCTTCAATCTGCCTTGCCACGCAGAATTCGGGTGAAACTGAATACGTTGTACCAAAAAGCCCTGAGACAAGGAAGAGACAACGCTTTCTGGGCTCATCGTGTCACGTTGGGCCAGTGAGCGGGACAGGCAGCCGTCAAAGAGTTGCCCAGAAAACTCTGAATCTCGCTCTCAGTTAGGTACTTCCACCGCTGCCTTTTCAAGTCACGGGTGGTGTCCGGTGCCTGGCCACGGAACAGCAAGCCCAGCATGCCAAGTGGCATATCCTTCTTCGGGCAGTCGCTGCCTAGTTTGGCTTGCATGCCCCTCACCACCCAATCGGCCGTTGCATCCTGTTGATAAACCCACATGGCGTCAACCATTTCCGTTTTGGCATAATTGGGCGACAGCACCGCTATGTAGGGGTATGTTTCGATCGGCTGCCCCTTCCACCAGACCAGTATGACTTCTGGGTTGGTAGAATTCTCCTGCGGCACCTTTCTCACATATACAGCGGCGGGCCGAGCGTTTCCTGGCAGTCCCAGCAGCTCGTGGGGCTCGCTGTACTTGGCCTCATAGCATCGAAGGCACAGAGCGACCAGCACGACGGTCTCCCAGTCTTGGCCGCTCTCAACCTTTCCCGACCAGCTCGGGAGCTCCTCGATCCATGCACCAACCTGTTTCCAACCCAGGTGGCAGCACATCTGTCCCACATAGGCAAGAATCCACCGGATCTGCCCCTTTTGGGGGGATTCAGTGAGGGCATCGAAGGCTCGCACTGGATCGTGGTCTGGACCCCTTTTGCCAATGAAGAACTCTGACAGAAAAGTCTTGGCTAGGATTGGCAGCTCCTCCGACTTTGCAGCAGGTAGGATATCCCGGAACCGCCCTTCAATGTCGAAGACCTGCGTCTTGACCGAGAAGATCAGGGCAGGGACGTAGCCTAAGTAGACGGCCTCCAACGGTGTCAAGGCATCACAGGCTGGATGCATGGCCCTTAGCTGCTCCATGTCCGCGCACCTGGGCATGGGTATGGTTTCTGCCTCACGAGAGCTCCCCGCGCCCTTGCCCAAGACCCGGTCGAGGCCAGTGCTGGTGGGGATGTGCGTGCTGAAGACAAGGTGTCGTCCAGCAGGGTCAAGGAACGTCTCCCGCAGGAACATCCCCACATCTTGGTAGTTATCTGCTTGATTGGGTTTGAGCAAGACGTTTAGCTCGTCCACGAGCAGGACGACGTCCTTCTTGTCCTCCAGATATTCCTTCAAGGCTTCCTTGCTGCAGCGCACCCGCTCGGCCTCTTCCCTGTTCGCGGGCTTGTTCTTCATCAGGGCAACAGCGATGGCCCGTAGCATTGTGTGTAGTGGCTTCTCGTCATCGAGCCTGTGGATGAGCGAGTCCCCATTGAAGCTGATGAAGATGGGTTGTGTTTTGGTCGCTTTCAGCTTGTCAAAGACCTTGTAGAGCATTGTCGTC